ATTTGGTATTTGAAGTTCGTAATGGAGACTACATTCTAAGACAGAAAATTGTCTGTGCAGGTCCACGTCTTCGTATAGCCCCCATATAACGGTACCTCCCGATGTTTGGTACTTTGCTGATTTTAGCGACATCATTCACCGGAATTATTTCAAACTTGGTATTTGAAGTTCGTAATGGATTCTACAGCCTATGACAGTTGATTGTCTGTACAGGTCCGCGTGTTCGTATATAACATATAACAGCACCTCGCTATATTCGGTATTTTAATGATTTTAGCGACATTTTTCACCGGAATTGTTTAAAATTTGGCATTTGAAGTTCGTAATGGATACTACAGCCCAAGACAAAAATTGTCTGTGCAGGTCCACGTCTACGTATAGCCGATATAGCATTATTACCGATCTTTTTTTGAGTTTCCAATTTGAATATTGTAATGACTTATAGCAAATGTTATCTATGCAGGTCCATGTTGTCGTATAGACTCTAATATAACAGCTACATTCGGTATTTGTAAGATAAAAGAATTTTTAACGGATTTTATTGTTTTTGATAATTGCCAAATTCGTTCCAAATTGTGGAGGGTATTCAAAGTTCGTCCCGGCCGAACTTACAGCTTTTTTGACTTGTTGGCTATTTAATTTACTATTCTTCTCCATTATGCATAGCCCCAATTTTGATGCTTTGAGAAGTATTTTTATACCCTCCACCATACTATGGAGGGTATATTCATTTTGTCATTCCGTTTGTAACTCCTCGAAATACTCATGTCAGACCCAACAAAGTATATATATTCTTGATCAGCGTAAAATTCTAAGGCGATTTAGCCATGTCCGTCTGTCTGTCTGTGTGTCTGTCTGTCTGTCTGTCCGTCTGTCTGTCTGTCTGTCTGTTGTAATCACGCTATCTTTCGAACAAATTGAGATAGAAGGCTAAAATTTTGCACACATGTATATTTTGCCAGTAGGCAGGTTAAGTTCGAAAATGGGCCATGTAGGTCCAAGTTATCATATAGCCCCCATATAATGGTACCTCCCGATATTTGGTATTTTGATGATTTTAGCGACATTATTCATCGGAATTGTTTCAAATTTGGCATTTGAAGTTCGTAATGGATACTACATCGTAAGCCAAAAATGAGCCATGTAGGTCCACGTATTCATATAGTCCCCATATAAAGGTACCCGCCGATATTCGGGATTTTAATGATTTTAGCGACATTGTTTACCGGAATCGTTTCAAATTTGGTATTTGAAGTTTGTAATGGATACTAAATCCTAAGTCAAAAAATGAGCCATGTAGGTCCACGTCTTCGTATAGCCCCCATATAAGGATACCGATTTTCGGTATTTTGATGATTTAAACGACATTATTTAGCGAAATCGTTCCAAATTTGGTATTTGAAGTTCGTAATGGATACTACGGCCTAAGACAGAAAATTTTCTGTGCAGGTCCACATCTTCATATAGCCCCATATACCGTACCCCCCGATATTCGGTATTTTGATGATTTTAGGGACATTATTTATTGTTTCAAATTTCGCATGTGAAGTTCGTAATGGATACTTCAGCCCATGCCAGAAAATTGTCTGTGCAGGTCCAAGTTTTCGAATAGCCCCCATATAACGGTACCCCCCCCCCCCCCCCCCATATTCGGTATTTTAATGATTTTAACTTCATTAAAAACAGATTTTTCTTCAAGTTTCACATTTAAATTATTGTAACAACTTATGACAAAATATGCCTATGCAGGCCCACGTCGTCGTATAAGCACTCGGTATTCTTAAGATTTTAACAGAATTTTTAACGGATTTTATTTTTTGGAAATTGCCAAATTTGTACCAAATGGTGGAGGGTATTAAAAGTTCGGCCCGGCCGAACTTACAGCTTTTTTACTTGTTTTTTTTTTTATCAAAATTGCATGGAATATATGCAAAATTTCTCGATTTTGTTTGTATAAGAATTTTTGATTCCAAATGGCATTGTGCAACAGATCTATATAAAATTCCTTATCAAAATAGAAAATGCAAGTTTTTCACTTCCGCGATTTTTCTAGAGGCTTTTCTCGAAATGTTCATTCATGAAAACATTTCCACTTTAATTACAAATAACCAAAAGAAGCAGTTCAGGCCAAGCAGTTCTCAACTGATGTGTTACTATATTTCGATATGACTTATAATTATCTACACCAAAAAAATTATGTAGGTAATGCCAAATGATTTGTCATTTGGCCCAAATGATTCCGCTCTTGATTATTGCTCAAGAACGGAAGCTGTTGGGATAACAGTACCGAGACTGTCATTTGGTGAAGAGAAATATGTAGGTAATGACAACAGCGAAACAGTTGTGCCAAATGCAAATGTAATTGATTTTTCAACTGTTTGAGTAGGTAATAACAACAATTTTGCTCTTGTTATACTGTGAAGCTAGTTTTCTCAATTTTTTGAAAGCGCTAATAACATTTTTGCTTTTAATATTCTGTTAAATAATTCTCACAATTTTTTAAGAGTGCAGCCTTTGAATAATTGTAAACAATAGTTTTTTGACGGCTTTGTTCTTGAAAAATTGTAATTCTGTTTTTTATGACAATTTTTGGAAAATAAAAAAGCATTTTTTTTTTTATTTTTGTTTCTAATTTTTATTAAAATGTAATTATTCTTATATTGCTATTCAACATGTTTTCTCTAGCCGAGAACTTAAAATTATTTATATTTACAACATGAAAGGCATTACTAGCATTTTTTATTTCATACGATTGATATTTTTGTAAGAATACAGTTTCATTTTCTTGTAATACTAAATAAATATCCGATTCTTCTTCAAAAAATATCAGTAATATTTTCATTATCATATCATTAAACTTAACATATGAATTTTCTTCGAATACATGACCTCTATATTTAACACTCTTAATTCTAAAAACTTAAGTTTTTGTAAAGGATATGTTTTTAAGTCAGTCTCGATTTTTTTTTAAATCTGAAAAATAGCAAGCACAGAAAACATTTTCGACCAAACAGTGCGAAAAATATAAGCTATGTTTTATTACTAATGACAATGGTATATTTTTCCTGGATGTGATAACATGACTGTATTGTTTTGAAACTTGGTGCTTGCCCTCAAAACGGAAATTCCATAAATGCTTAAGAGGCCCTAACTTTTTAATTACCATCGCATAGTGTACCATGAAATGGTGTTTTGGCTTTAGAGTATCTTTAAACAAATGAATATAGAGTTCATGATGTTTCGATATCAAATCTCCGAGCAACTGCAATTTTTCATCGTTAAATTCCTCTTCTTTAATTAAATTCTCAATACGAATAAATATTATTAAAAACGTATAAACAGCATCGTTCTCGTCTATTAAATCGCCAATTAATAATAAAATGATATGCAAGAAAGTTTTCATCTCTGAAGCATTAATTTTAAAATTTCCAGTTTTGATGTGATGTTTTTTTATTGCTGAACTAATATTTCCAACTAGCTTTGGACCATAATGAAACATTTGCTTTCTATAATTGAACGCATCTAACGAAAAAAGTTTCTTTTCATATAAAATAATTTAATGTTTTGCTGAGATTGTATTCAGCGACTCCAAGATAAATGTCATGCATAATGTCGCATGCAATATTGTCCGTTACATGAAAATCTCGAACACTATTCCAGATGGAATTTTCAACAACTGCTGTATTGTTGTCGATAGATGCGCATTCTTCTGCATACGTGTTTTTGTTACGAATTTTTTCGTTTTTTTCAAAAGAATCTTTCTGGCACTCTGTCTTTTTACTTGTGCCTATTCTGCAGTAGTTGTTACTATTAAAACTTTTTGTGTATCCTAAAATTTCGTTGAGGCCAAAAAAATGAATCTTAATTTCTTTTCCATTAAAAAAAGACATCGATAACATCATCCGCTAATTCCTGCAAAATTGCAATTAAACGTTGTAAACTCATGTGGTTACCAAAATTTTTCATATCATCTGAATTTATATAGCCAAATATGAATATGTTATTTAAATGTGCTACATGGTGTTGTGGAACTACTGGTATTGTATAATAAATACCACACACAGACTTTGGGTGCGATCCTAATGCATAATTGATTTGGAATGCATCGAAATATAAAAATAATGGAAATATTATTTTATTTTGATGTGATTGCAGTTTGGTTTGCCACAACTCAACTTTAATGAAATGGTTAATATTTGAGGAATTATTAATATTTTCTATGTTTTCAAATGTTTTTTTCAAAATATCCGGTGATTCAAAATAGGCCTTTAACTGAAATTTTATGTCACTAAAACAGCCTTGGATTACATTTTCTTTTAACGTTGGACATCCATTCACGAAAACTTCATCCAGCTGTTCAGTTATGACAAACATTTCTGGCTTACTGTTTAGATTGTGCGTACGCAGAAACTTAAAAAACTTATATTCTGTGTCAATTTTTTGAAAAATGTTATCAACAAATGTGTCCAGCTCATGGAACTCTTGCTGTTTTTCAGGTGATAAGGTGAAAATGCTTTGTATGCAGATTCAATTGGCGAAATTATCTTATACTTTGTAAAAATTCCAGAATTTTTTTTCTAGCCATATTCGATTTAGCATGAAAACTTAATAAGAATTTGATAACATTTTTGTTGATAGTATTTTTCAAAAAATTCATATTAATTTCATTATTTCTTAAATTTTCTTGTACTGGTATTACATTATTATTATTAATAGCTACTTGCACATAATTGACAATATCTTCCTCTTGCACATGACTTTTTTTTGTGGAGGTTGCTCTAATAAGTTTTCGCTATGAGATAGAGATCGATGCTGTAATATATGTTTCTTAAATGTAAAAAAATTTTGATAAGTTCTTTGGCATTGTGTAGTACCACGGAACTTGCATTTGTAACAATATGAATTTTTTCGCAAATAAAGCAAATATGTGTAAACGTTCGATTTTCAACGTTCATTGTTTTTTTTTTTTTTTTGAATAATATTAATAAAATTTTGAACTTTCGAAACTTTAGTTTTTGATGGAATTTCATAAATATATTCCTGCAAGAACGTCCATACATATTTACTTTTTGCTGAATATTTTAAATCGAAAACAAAACACATTTTCACGACTGCGCCGCTAGTAACGTATGTACTTTGTATATAGAGCCATTTAAATAAACGGAAAATTCTTTTAAATTATTCACGTCTTCACCAACAACAATAACTTTGGGTTGCACCGACAACTTCTCCTCTAACGCTGAAACTGTGATTGTATCTTCCATGTGCTTAAAATTGTTAATATTTACTAAATGCACCATCATGTCCTTCTGCGCTTCCGATATAGTGGGCTTGTGAGTTTTGGATAGTCGCGGTGGTAAAATTACTGCATGCAGAAGGTTAAAAATTTGAAATTGTGTTGTATCTGCGAAATAAAATAAAGGAGAATTTCATTATATGTTATCTTTTTAAAATGACTGAAACTCTTTACCTGACGACCAATTTGAGCATTTATTCAATGTATCGAAGAGGTTCATGTTGAGTTTGTCTTTGATTAGTGAGGGGAAAATTTTGCACACGTCTGCTACAAATGTCTCAATTTTCTCAAATAATAAATTTGATTTGTTTGGGTAGAGGGTCTGGAAATCAATGTTTATTAAATCTAAACCATTAAGGTCCTTGTATCTTGGCCAATTTTTGAAAACATTGTCAAGATTGTCTTTGGACTCCTGCATCCTCAACTTCTATGTTTCTTCCCATATTTTTTTTTAAATTTGCTGGTGTGTTGAACTGCAGAAATGACTTCTGTTTTAAAAATTCATCGTAGTTCGGATTGTCCTTACAGTTTTCGATTCTGATTTTCTTTGGTGGCAATTCTTTCGATATGTGGGCTTTTTGTTTGTTTTGTACGTGTTGAAGTACCTGTCATATAACTTTCCTGACGGTCTTATATTTTGCGAACGTGGAATATAATACGTGGCCTCTACCTCAGTTGGAAATAATTCAACGATCGCTTTTGCATGTGTCGCAATTGATACTGTTCCACAACTAATCGAGCAATTATCGTCTGGTCAGCCTCTCTTAAAACTTTGCTAATCGCAAAATGTCTAGTATGTCTTGCCCAGCAATCGTTGAAATTAGTACTTTTTTCAAATCAATTTCTGAACTTTGTACCTTATAAGTTCCATCACTGCTGTCCAATAAAACAACGTTAATGTAAATTTCAAGGGCTACTGTACTACAAAATGCACAACACAAACTTCACGAACCAAAGAAAAAACGAAGCAAAAAAAAGTGCCAAACCGCTAGCTGTGCGGTTGTTTACTTTTAATGCGTGTTGTTGCTAATGTATGTGCGTGCTTTGCTTTCGAATGCTTTGTGTTGTTATTCTAAGACTCAACTGTTCTTTGTGTTGTGTATAAAAAAATGCACTTATCGTGCTCTTAGATTTCCATTTTTCAAATTTTTCCCGAAAAATAAGTTTTTCTCCTAGCATGTGTCGCTCAAAAAACACTTTGTCTATGTCACTATTATTTAATAGTTTGAAAGTATCAATACAATTAATACCGCACTCTTTAAATAATAACTGACTGTCGGCATTCATGCCCCACTGATATTCCTGATATTCAGTCATGCTTTAACTTAGGCTGCAAAATATCAACTGAACTGAATTTACATTAGAAGAAATAAATCATCTGTTTCTGACATTGGCTTGTTACAACAAAAAAAATGAAGATGGAAGATAACAGCAAAGTTGTTAAAAGGCTGTTGGTTTTACGTACATCGCTCTTGGAAGCGTTAAAGAAATACAGCAGAAAACAAAGAGAAAAAATGAAAAATGGAAGATATCAGCAAAGTTGTTAAAAGGCTGTTGCTTTTACCTACATCGCTCTTGGAAGCGTTAAACAACAACAATTTACACTGATTATAAAATAAACAGTCTCGACTAAAGTCTGTTAACAGCGCCACTATTATTTTTTTAAATGTAAAGCAGTTGAGGCAAGGGGTTTTTTAATGTTTCAACTATTTTTTCGCTACAGTTTTTTGACAGTCTTTCGCAGTTAGATTAACAGCGTTTTATTTTTTCAGTGTATATATAAATGTAAGTTGTGTTAGTTACTACGCTTATAACTTAAGAACCGCTGGACTGATTTTAACGATTCACACAAATTCGGAATTGTCTCCTCTCCGAAAAGGATAATATCCAAAAAATCGCGTAAAAATGTGATATATTAAAATTAGAAAAGTGTTTGGCTTGCTTGTTTGGGATACCATAGTATTTTGTTGTTGCAAAATCGTCAGGCAAAATCCCATTATTGTTGTTTTTATAAAAACAACGTTTGTTTATGAGTGGAGAACGATGGTAATGTTTACCAGGGGGTAAGGCAGGGAATACCTAGGTTTCGGAAAGAGCCACCAATCCTCATCAGTTCCCTTGTTTCTTGTCTGGGATATTCTCCCCAGAAGTTATTTTAAAAAATAACTTCTATGACAAAAAACATTTTTTACCCAAGTGACGAGATCGTAAGCTCAATATGGTATCCCAAACAAGCAAGCCAAACACTGTTCTATTAATAGACACAGGCACGGTCGACGAAGGGGTTTTTGTTGTAACAGACAAAACAAACTTACATGGTTATGTTACATCGTTCAGGTTGAACGAAAGCATAACAAGTGGAGAAAGATGTAAATGTTTATAAGTGCGGTTGTAAGATTTAGAAGATTTTCCAAAAGAATTTTAGTTTTATGTAATTCTTTTGTTCCTCTTCTATTGAGATTACGATCTCGTCACTTGGGTAAAAAATGTTTTTTGTCATAGAAGTTATTTTTTAAAATAACTTCTGGGGAGAATATCCCAGACAAGAAACAAGGGAACTGATGAGGATTGGTGGCTCTTTCCGAAACCTAGGTATTCCCTGCCTTACCCCCTGGTAAACATTACCATCGTTCTCCACTCATAAACAAACATTGTTTTTATAAAAACAAAAATAATGGGATTTTGCCTGACGATTTTGCAACAACAAAATACTATGGTATCCCAAACATGCAAGCCAAACACTGTTCTATTAATAGACACAGGCACGGTCGACGAAGGGGTTTTTGTTGTAACAGACAAAACAAACTTAGATGGTTATGTTACTTCGTTCAGGTTGAACGAAAGCATAACAAGTGGAGAAAGATGTAAATGTTTATAAGTGCGGTTATAAGATTTAGAAGATTTTCCAAAAGAATTTTAGTTTTATGCAATTCTTTTGTTCCTCTTCTATTGAGCTTACGATCTCGTCACTTGGGTGAAAAATGTTTTTTGTCATAGAAGTTATTTTTTAAAATAACTTCTGGGGAGAATATCCCAGACAAGAAACAAGGGAACTGATGAGGATTGGTGGCTCTTTCCGAAACCTAGGTATTCCCTGCCTTACCCCCTGGTAAACATAACCATCGTTCTCCACTCATAAACAATCGTTGTTTTAATAAAAACAACAATAATGTGATTTTGCCTGACGATTTTGCAACAACAATATATTAAAATTTTCATTTTGACTTTTCAAATGTACAATAGTAATGTTTTATTTAGCATGATTTTTTTCTAATTTTGACTTACTTTTTTTTTAATTTACATTTGTAGTGTTTTTATATTTTATTTTTGAATTCGAATATTAATACCAATTTATTTAATTGACCTGATTTCTTGAGAACTGAAATTGATGGCGGGTTACATGGAAGTGTAGTACCGAATTATGTGGTGGCGAAACGGAATAGATGATATCGAAATAATTTAACGCGGTCACACCAAAGATAAAAGATAATTACTTTTTCAAAATGGCAAAAAATCATGAACAAGAGATCTCATTACATTGCTGTAAAAAATCAGCGAACAAGTTAAAGATTTTTTCAATTTGTTATTCCTTTTTTGTCAATTTTTTTCAATTTGTATTATCATATTGAATTCAGTGGATTTTTTGTGAACAAAATGAAGAATAATATTTCACCATATACAATTTTTAACCAAAAAAAAAAAAATGAAATAAGTGCGAAATAGGATGTTAACGACATCTACCCTTCAACTCCAGGGCCTACATCATGGTTCAGCTGGGACTTTTAGTAAGAAAAGGTTTTACATCCTTCCAGAAATTCTTCCCAAACATTCAAAATACCTTAAATCGCTTTTGCAGGTCTTTATATCGATCATAACTCACGGATATGGGAACAACCCGATTTCATATTTATATAACCATCTTTGATTTAAGCTATTTTTGGGGTCTTGGCCACTTTTTTCATTTTTTGGGCCTTATTTGGCATTTTTGTTTCTAAGGGGATAGAGAACCTCTTCGCATACAATTTGAAATTTCCAGAGTAGGGCCCATATTGGTCTTGACCAATTGATTGTGGAAACATGAACAAATTACAAATATAAGAAAGTAGCACGGGACGAATATTTGTTGAATCATCATTGAATTATACTATGATGAAAATATGGACTTTAAGGGGTCTCCAACTTACAATTTAAATGGCAAATAAAATTAATTCCCATCTTATCATTCTGCTCTCAATTATGAGGTGGATAAAACTATTTTTACTTATTTAAATCACGCGAAATGCTATGACATGCTATATTGTTCTGCTATATTTTTGATTTGGCCTCTATTTGTCATCTTGGATTATAAGGGGTAGAAGAAAGTTTTCAATGTAGGTCGATGTTTCGGAGTAGTGCCCATATAAAGAAGGTACCATATTTCAAAGAATTTGGCTAATAATGTGTATTAGGGGGGTGAAAATCTAAGTACTAATGGGTTTAAAAAAGTAATTATTTTTGGCTATTCTTAAATTACTGCTCATTTGACTGTAAGATTTTAACCATATTAAAAATTTTAACCATTTGTATAGCACGTCCACACAGTTGAAGCCCGCGGTTTAAATATTGAATGGGTACAGGTATTTTAAAACACTTTTAATCGACCTGTACGTGAACACTTATATCAGTCATATCTAGACAAAAACTACGGGCCGGCAACGCGGACCGGGCCAGCTAGTTTGAAATATTTTGTTCTTCTTTTTCTAAAATCTCAAATTACCAACATGTGAGGAATTTGAAAGGGGCTATATCAATTGAGTGGGTGGGGAATATTGTATGTATGGAATATATGCAAATTTTCTCGATTTTGTTTGTATAAGAATTTTCGATTCCAAATGGCATTGTGCAAAAGATCTATATAAAATTCCTTATCAAAATAGAAAATTCAAGTTTTTCACTTCCGCGATTTTCCTAGAGGCTTTTCTCAAAATGTTCATTCATAAAAACATTTTCACTATAATTACAAATAACCAAAAGAAGCAGTTCAGGCCAAACAGTTCTCAACTGATGTGTTACTATATTTCGATATGACTTATAATTATTTGAAATATTTTGTTCTTCTTTCTAAAATCTCAAATTACCAACATTTGAGGAATTTGAAAGGGACTATATCATTTGAGGGGGGGCTATATCACAATGTAGACCAACCTGATACATATTTTGTACAAATGATTCCTCTTGTAACCCACCCCTATGACTGTATCAAATTTAAAACTCTATCGTAACTTTTGCGGAGTATAGGGCAAAATATTTGCGGCTCTTTGTGTTGGGTTAAACTATATAAAATGGACCCTAAAAACGTTTGACCCGAAAACCCCCTCTTGAGATTTTTATCTACCAACCGAAAAATTTCCCAAGTGTAATTACTGACGATAGCGCATAGTCCCCGTATAACGTTACATATGAGTTAAGGTTACTTTAAAGGGTTATTATTATTTAGGTTTTTAACTCTGAAATGAAAAGATCTGGCTGAAAAATAGGATCAGGGGTTTTGAAACACTATAAATCGCCCGATACGTGAACCTGTATTGACATTTTTGCGATGCGTACTTATTTCTATTTAGTCGAGTCATCATTTATACTTAAAACTGTGTCACTTATGTGAGGCGGATCTGCGAATTATTATACTTTAAAAAGTATGTATTAAAGACTAAAACTACGGGCCGGCAACGCGGACTGGGCCAGCTATTCTTTGTTGTAATCACCAGAGATGGCTATTTTGCACTATATTTTTAGTGGACTAATAATTAAGAAAAATTGCACTAAATTAGTGGTATTTCATAAAAATAGCACTAAATTTGTGCTATTGAAAAATAATCAAATTTTATGGGTATGTACTATATATTTTATGGATTGTTGTTCGCTATTCCCTTCAGTAAACTTCATGATATTTGATATAATACTTATATACATTGTGTTTTTTATTGGTTTCGCTAAAATTTAGTGGCAGTGATTTTTTTTTTTTTTTGAAATTTCACTAAATTTAATGGTAGTGCTATTAAAATTTCACTACCACTAAGCTTTTAGCACTACCACTAATTATTTAATTCTTAGTGCACTAAAAATTTTGTTCAATATACCCAACCCTGGTAATCACGTTATCTTTCGAATGAATTGAGATAGAAGGCTATAATTTTACACACATGTGTTTTTGGTCAGTGTGCAGGTTAAGTTCGTAAATTTTTAAATTGGTCATGTCCGCCCACGTTTTCGTATTTTGATGATTTTAGCGACATTATAGGCCGGAATTGTTTCTAATTTCGTATTGGAAGATCTATGGCAGAAAATTGTCTATACAGGTCCAGGTCTTCGTATACCCCACATGTAACCTCCCATTTTTCGGTACCACCGGTGCCTAATCCATCTTGGAAGAGGAGCTTCACCACCAGCTTCCATGAAATTAGAATTATCACATTCAAGTAAGGTATGTCCAGGATTCGTGCAAGACCAAAACGCGAAAAGTGCCAAAAGCCCCTATTGCTGGATGTTTAATATTAAATTCAACGCAGCACTCTTGAGAACTCCAGGACTCAATCGTATGCCGCCAGACAAGGCAATTGTAGGTCATGTTAGACCACATCCAATGTACAACTTTGGTCTAGGCCCCAGCATTTTTGCTATTAAGCGCAATGAGACCTTTTTGCATGCGCTCGTGGATGTTCCTGATTCAGTTAAAACGCTGGTCCAGAATTGTATTTAGCACTCAACGAAAAGTTCGGTGTTAAACCCTCTAGTAATGGTAGTCAAAATTTATCCAATTCGCGTTTTCTAGTGAATAGTACTATTTCAGTCTTTGTTTACACCCAGACTATTGTCATGGGCCCAACCAGATAACTGTACTAGTGCAACTAGCAGATATAGTTTCAAGAAATCTTTCTTTAATCGAAGTAGGCCTAAACTCCTAGTCAAAGCAGTGGTAAAGTAAAGTTAAAAGCTTTGCTAATGAAACTCTCTCCCAAGTTTGAATTGACTATTCTACTTTTTACCATCAGCAAATAGGATAGAGAAAATACAAAAGACTTGTGTGATATTATAGATCGATTTCAGCTTCACAGCGTTGAAAAGACCCCTCTTCATGGAGGAAAACTTCTAAAGTAAAGATGTCACTATTTCTTTAATGTCTTGTCTAATTCAAAAACACTATTTTTAGTTCTTCTGAATGCGCATTGATTTCTACACCAAATTCAACTATTTATAACTCGGAAATGGATTTCTATAACACTATTGTACCTGTTTCCCCCCACGTAAATGTTCCAACGTCGGCTAGTATTCAGTATCGTACAGCTCCACCACCACTTCCACCTAGAAGGAAGGAGCGAACGGAAAGTTGTGCTGATATGGCGCAGAAACGACAAGCTCCAGATGCTCCTATGGTAAGTTTGCCCTAAAATTATAGTTTTACACATGGTATTTTTGCAATTTTCTACAATTTAAGCTTCCACCAAGGGATGGTGATTTGAGCCCACCACCAATTCCACCCAGGATCAATAATCAACAATACATCTATCACTCGAATTTCCAAGGATATACAAATAACGTATCAAACACAAGTAGCCTGCTGTTGCCGAACACCAGCACCATAATGATACGTAGAAATTCAGCTATCGAAAAACGTACAGCCATGAAACCAACTGCAAAATCTTCAGCATCACCCTTAGTATTATCAAATTCCACAACAGTCTCTATTTCGTCGCCTATATCCACGTCAACTTCAAATGTACCTATTATACTGCCCCATCTAAGCCATTTATGTACGACAACTTCTTCAGATGACCAATCAATATCTCCGGCGTTGAGTTCATCTACAACATCTCCAATGACACCAATGACTCCAATATCACCACATATTCCTGCTGGATATCTGACTACTGATATATCCCATAATCAAATATGTCTTCAGAACGTTTCAAGTTCCTCCACTTTCATGTTTTCTAAGCCACCATCTTTGCCCCATCAGCGAAATCAAAACCAACAAATACAACACAATAATATCTCAGTAGGTAGTCAACCAAGATCAATATGTAAGGAGTTATGTCCAAATACAGATAGCTTACCGAAACTACCACCGAAACCTAGTCTTGGTGGAAACGTTTGTAACAACTCAGGTACGAAGCAATAACATAAACAATTATACTTAAAACAAAATTTATAATTATTTCTTTACAGAAAAGTGTACTATGTTTCCCTACCCAAGTACAAATCACGAATAATAATCTGGTGATATGATGTGGATGCAAGAAAAATTGGTATAAAACTACTAATTTGTTATGTTATTGTAAATAAAAACAAATTATTAAACGTAGTAAATGATAATAAAGTAAACTATTATTGTTAATTCTTTCAAGTATTTTTTTATAATCAAAAGTAAGTTAAATTATGAGCGTGATTTTTACAGTTGACGTGGGTAGAATGCAATCAATTTTACATCATGATCACATCTTTTACATTTGTGTTGTGGGGTAAATAAAAAGCCACTGGAATACTTTCTGACTTTGGATATAGGTGTTACAGACATGTGTTTCTTAAGCATAGCTTTTTTACATCATTATTGAATATGGCATATGGTTATATTAACACTTCATTTAACGAATTTATAATTTAAACGTATAAAAATTTTGACTTTAAAATTCGGTGATATGCAAGCAGTCAAAATTGTATCAACACTTCATTTAACGAATTTATAATTAAAACGTATAAAAAATTTGACTTAAAAATTCGGTGCAAGCAGTCAAAATTGGATAAAATGTATACGTCTTTGATGACTCTGTGTCAATTAATTTTTCTGGTGCTGTAATAATAATACACTATTTACACTATTTATATCTGTCACGGCTGTTTTGGTACAAATATGGAACTGAAATGATGTCATCTATTTCTAAATTTCATATTCATTTCTCTTGTAAAAGTGTCATCGTCACTCCTTTGCAATACTTACTTTTCTCTTTGTTCCAATATACAAAAATATTCAGTTGCAATATGTACAAGTTAAGCCACCTTAATAGGATAGGAATAGAATATGATCAAAGGGATTAAAAACGTTATATTCCAAGAACAAGTGTTGGTTTTGCATAAATACCTAGTTGAATAAAATAAATTTCTTATGTTTGTAATAAAAGTACTTATTTCCATTTTGCCATAATATTTCATTTAAAAAGCAAATTTTTAATAATATCTAAATATCTAAAATTTGCTAAAAACAAGTAACCTTTAAAATGCATTAAACGCAAGATATCATTTGTTTTTTCCTATTGAAATTAAAGACCTGTAAATGAGTTGGATTAAGAAGAAAGTACTAATATATTTGTTATATAATACCATGAAATAAAGTTTTTAATTTATAGGAGATTTATACGTAAAGACAATTGTAAACTATGTTCAGATTATGCACAATGTTAACGTTTCTTATATATATTTATTTACTTTCCGAAAACTTTTGAAAAATGTTATGTGTAAATATTCTGCGTTATTAGGTTACTGAGACATCTGTAAAACTTTGCGAATGATAACCCAGTAAACAATTTTTGCCGAATTCTGTCCGATTTCTGTCAGAATCTCGGAAAAAATGTCCGATCTATTAGATTTTCTGGACGAATTCGGTCCGAATTCGGTGAAATTTCTTGGAAAAAATAGGAGAAAAAATTAGATTTTCGGAAAAAAATAGGAGGACAACTCCGAATTTCTGAAAGAAATTGGGCAGAATTCGTCAGGAAATTCGGCGGAATATTCAGATTTTCTAAAAGAAATCGGTCAGAATTCAAAAGAAAATTCGGAATAAAATTCAGATTTTCTGAAAAAATCGCTCAGAATTCGGGATAAAATTCTGAAAAAATATTCGTCGCACCAGCTAATAATTAAAAAACACATATTTATTTAAAAAAGAAACAATTTATTTCAGAATTCGTAAAAAAGTAGTTTAAATATTATATCTATAATACATTTATATTTTATATCTTATAAATATTATTTTATTAGGAACATAATATACAGTGCATTAAAAAAAAGAGTTGAACACAAGCTAAAATTCACACATGTAAACACTTTATGAATGAACTGATATTTCAATTACTTTGTTATTATTATATACATACATATAATTTAAATCATATAATTTAAAATCACTTTTTGAACACTTCTTGTAAACACGTTTCTTCTCAACTGCTGAACAAGAACTACAAATAAAAAAGAGTGCACACAGACAACCGGTATTCAGATGTTTTTGCAATTTTTTCCATCATATTTTTTAAGAACGAAAGAGAAAAAGGCTGATTTTCAACGAAATCTAACAGTTCACAAAAAACAATTAAAAATAGAATTTTTGCTTTGCGCTTTGTTGTTGTTGTGATCTTGGAATGAATGCTCACAACAACAACTACTATGGGAGAGAATTTGACAAAGCACCTCCATCCGACATCCGAGAATATGTCAGAGTAATAGACAGTCTACTCTCCGTTTGGATATTTTTCGATTTTTTTCGCTTAAAATCGCAGGAAAATGTGCAGAAATTCTAAAAAAACACGTTTAGAAAATCTGATCAATTTCTACCAGAAATTTCTGAAAAAAAACGTCAGAGATTTCGGAAAAAAATCTAAAATCAATCAGTCGGAACAAATTGTTTACTGGGAATTTAAAACATTTTGTAAAATAAAATGAATATGTACAAGTTTCATTATCTGTATTTCAGCTTACTGTTGACAGCACAATAGAATAAGAAGTGAATGTATAAATTTCTGCTTATTTTAAAAGTGAGAACATTTACTTATTTCATTCACTGTAGCTGAAGAACGGCAGCTGCCTAGACAAACCAGCATATCCCGGAATGCTTTCTCCGGATTTTATTGCTCCGTGCGGGATTGAGGAAACCTTCGAACCTTGGTTCTGCTTGGTTGGATCTGGTTCGGTGCGATGTAATGGATGTATAGAATGGGACTGAGAAAGAACTGTTCCGGACTAAGGCGTTTACGAAACTACAGCGAAAGTCCCCAACGAGTCCACGTCTTCGTCGTCCTCATCAGAGACGTCGTCGGAATATGGAACTCCACCGCAGTCTCTAGAACAGCAACCAACACCGCAGCACCTAACGCCACATGTTGCTGTTCCAACTCCGGACTGTGCATCATTCTTGCAATTCAATTGCAACGGACTCCGAGGCAAAATAGATGAGATAATAAGAAATAATAGACCATCTGAAGTGTTGCAACATTGGAACCGATATGTGGTAAGTAAGCTGTGGGTAACGGTTAAGTCGCTCTCGAACCCTGGAAAAAGGATGATATGACCTCTGTCACTTTTAACGACGTAACGGTGACTGATCCGTAGAGGTGCGCAGAGTATTTCACATCAATGGTAATGTTGAAACAGCTGGATACGCCGGGAGTCGAGTACTTAACGAAAGTTCTCAATTTGTCGCTAGCCACCCACATAGTGCCTGAAACCAGGAAAATGGGCTGGGTGGTCCCGCTTCTGAAGCCTGGCAAGGATGCCAGTAAAGGCGAATCGTACAGGCTGTTTGAGGACGTGTAGAGAACTACCCTCCGTCCAAGTTTGAAACGTTGCATAATAAACTATATGTATGGACGCCAGTCGTACGTGGAATTCCGGATGATTATACGATCATGGCGTCGGCCCAGTGGTCGATGACATATGTGAAAGGCTGAACCCCTATCTCGCGGAGCTTGCCGCATACTTCCACGCATGGAATATGAAAATATCCGCCACGAAATCAACGGCCACACTCTTTACCACATGGTCTGCGGAGATGAGAACACAGCTGAATGTGCAGGTAGAGGGGAATCTAATTCCGACCACGAACTTCCCCAAGATTCTAGGGGTCACATTCGACAGCATGTTCAAGTCATCCGCGCAAGCCACAGCTATCTGCGAAAAGATGAAAAGAAGGATCAAGGCGCTAGCCGGCAGCAGACGGTCTGTGGTCAGCTATGCGAATACTAGTGCTACGCAGTGGAAGCACATCCAGACCTGCCAGAATGCTGCCCTGAGAACTGCGACAGGTTGCCTTCTCATGACACCAGTGGACTATCTACATGAGGAGGCGAAATGACCTTCCCTTACGTCAGCATAATCATATGCTTTCGTTGCAGTACCTGCTTGGGTGTTACGTTGAGAGTCATCCCAACCATCATATGGTGGATAAATCTCCCCCACCCAGGCGTGTCAGGAAAGACATACAAGATCTAGAGAGGGAGGTAGCAGATGCTATTAGCAATTATAAGATGAATGCCATCCTCCGACTCCACCTCCATCCATTGCAGCTGAAGAACGTCAGCTGCCTAGACAAACCAGGGTAGTTTTGACGCAATTACGTTCAGGATGGTGTAGTCGTCTCAATTCGAATTGGGCCCGAGTTGATGAAGATGTGCGTGACGCCTGCCCGGCGTGCGAACAAGCCCGCACAATTCGTTGCACAGACAAACCTACCCAACTCACTCTAGAAGATCTCTGGCTACAGCCCATTAAAGTAGCCTAATTTCTAAACCTGGAGCTGGAACCAGATTAGCAGAACGCAAACACTTACATGTACTACTGCTACAACAACAACAACATGGCGGCTGGGAAAATAAAAAATTGGAAAACTTTTGATATTTTATATTGAATTTTAATTCTGACATAGAACTGTAGTTCAAGTTAAATAGAAACTGCTTTCCCTACAATTTTATGGGTTTAAATTTATTGATTGTTCTTATCACGTTCACGAATTTGATGTTTCCAAAATGTAAGTAGTCTCTTAATTAAAAAAGTGGCTGACTCTACTTTAGCCTACACATTGCAACTGTCCTAAAATAAATTACGTATCCACAGATTTAAATTGTAATGTTTATGAAAATTTGTCCCTACCAAATATTGGGTCAAGGAGGACTTTTTACATCTTTGAACTTTTATCTTCTTCAATATCTTTCAGTACGGCTTAATGCCTTTTTTTTAATATAACTATTATAGAAGAGTATAACACATTCGAACTATAACGCTTACAACAATTATGTTGATATTAGGTGTGTCTGGTTACTTTTCCTGCTGGAATTGTCCAGCAACATCTTTCTGAGAGAGTTAGGTAGTTTTATTCTCTTTCGCAAGAAAAATGTGAAAAGTAAAGTTTGTCAAAACAAACTAATTGTCCCCATTAAAAAAATTGAAATAAAGCAAGCACCGCCAATTTTACAAGTTTTATGAATAAGAAAATTTGCAATAAATTAAAAATATGAGCAATAAAAGAAAGATAGATTTGATGTGTTCGTGTTGCTAATGTCGTTTGTCTAAAAATTTTGGAAATAGTCTTTTATTTTCTTAATACATATTAATATTTACGCCTTTCACATTTTG